TACAAAGCAGAATTAAGAGAATCGTGAGAGGAAGAGGACTCAAGACAATTAAAATATATTGCGAAGGTAGAAGACTGAATTAATTGGATACAAGTCGATTTTTATTATTTTTTTCATTGTATTTTTTCTCTCTCTCGTTCTTCTATTCTTTAATGTGTCTTTTGGGCAAGTGCAAGTGCGTGATAAAACTGTACATGATGTTTTGTTTTTCCTTGAAGTAAATCTAAAAATGAAATTGAAGAAAAGGAAATAAAACAGAAGGCGTGAAGAATTATGTAGACAAGAATAGATAAATAAATCTAAAAGTGAAATAGAAGAAAATTAAATGAACAGAAGGCGTGAAGAATTTTGTAGACAAGAATAGATAAATAAATCTAAAAGTGAAATTGAAGAAAAGGAAATAAAACAGAAGGCGTGAAGAATTCTGTAGCGAAGAATAGATAAATAAATCTAAAGGTGAAATAGAAGAAAATGAAATAAATAGAAGGTATAAAGAATTCTGTAGCGAAGAATAGATAAATAAATATAAAAATGAAATCGAAGAAAAGGAAATAAAACAGAAGGCGTGAAGAATTATGTAGACAAGAATAGATAAATAAATCTAAAAGTGAAATAGAAAAAAAGTGAAATGAACAGAAGGCATAAAGAATGTTGTAAAGAAAGATAAATAAATAAATCTAAAAGTGAAATAGAAGAAAATGAAACGAACAGAGCGGATAAAAAATGTTGTAGAGAAGAATAAATAAATAAATCTAAAAGTGAAATAGAAGAAAATGAAACGAACAGAAAGCATAAATAATGTTGCAGAGAAGAATAAATAAATAAATGTAAAAGTGAGATAGAAGAAAATGAAACGAACAGAAAGCATAAATAATGTTGTAGAGAAGAATAAATATATAAATGGAAAAGTGAGATAGAAGAAAATGAAATTAAACAGAAAGCGCGAACAATTTTGTAGATAAGAACGAAGTCTCGATAAAACTTCATGTGCAAAAATAAGTCAAAATCTGGTGAGTATTTTGAGACTATTTACCGATAAATATTTAAAGTATTTAGGATATTAAAAAGTATTTAGGAGTACTAAAAGGATTTAGAGTAATTAGTGTCATTTAATCAGGAGATTAGTATAAAAAAGACGAATATGTACAAGGGAATTTGAATATTTCTTTGTCATGTTAAGTTGTTTATTCTGTAAAAGGAAGAAGCGAAGAGATAAGAAGAAAGAGGGAGACGGAAGGAGAAAAGAAGAAGAAAAAAAGAAGACGTAAGGGGACGAAAAGGAGGGAGAGGAGATGTAAGAGAAGAAGAAAGAGATACAAAGGGAAAACGAAGAATAAGAAGTAGATGAAATAGGAGAAAGAGAAGAAGGAGGAGGGGAAGGAGGAGGAAGAGGAGACGCATAAGAAGAATAGAGAAATGTAATAGAAGTAGACGTATGAGAAGGAGACACAAGAGAAGAAAAAAGAGAAAGGACGAGAAAGAAACGTAAGAAAGGAGGAAGAAACACGAGAGGAGGAATCACAAGAGAAGAAAAAAGAGACATAAAGGAAGGAGGGGACAAAAGAAAGAGACAAATAGATGTAAGAAAAGGAGACGGAAGAGGAGAAGAAAGAGACGTATAGGAAGAATGATTAAGACAAAAGAAAAAGATAAATTGTAAGAAAGTGAGACCGAAGAGGAGACGAAGACACATAATAAGAAAAAAGAAGAGGAAGAAAAATAAAAAGAAGAAAGAAGAAGAAAAAGAAGAAAGAAAAGAAGAAGAGGAAGAAGAAAAAGAAAAGAAACAAAGTAAACAAAACAAAAATAAAAAAAATATTAAGAGGAAAGTGCTAATGACAGCAAGCAGATTGTTTACGAACAAAAATACACATAAAGATTAACGAACAGATATTAAAGGGAAAGGCAAGACATTATGCTGCTGATCACCAGAATCACTTGGAAGAGCAGTAAAGTGGTCGTGTTGGAAGCCAGAATAAGTGGTCAGGTCGTTAGACAGAGTTGGACGCGGGTGGGGTATGTGTGGGTAGGGCGGGGGGGGGTGAGGGTAAGACTTGGGTAAGGGGTAAGGAATGGGGGGTGGGGATAGAGGTAACGTTGGGGGGGGGGAGTGGTGGAGGTAGAGTGTGGGTAAGGGGGGGGTGGGGGTAGAGTGTGGGTAAGGGGGGAGGGGAGGGTAGAGTGTGGGTAAGGGGAAGGGGGAGGGTAGAGTGTGGGGGGGAGGGAGGGTAGAGTGTGGGTAAGGGGGGAGGGGTGGGGGTAGAATGTGGGAAAGGGGGGAGGGGTGAGGGTGGAGTGTGGGTAAGAGGTGAAGGGTGGGGTAAAGTGTGGGTATGGGGGGAGGGGGAGGGGTAGAGTGTGGGTAAGGGGGGAGGAGTGGGGGTACAGATGTGGGGAGGGGGTATTGGTATGTTGGAGATATGGATGTAGGTGCAGTAGGAGTGTGGACGAGAAGTAGGGGTGGGGAGAGGGGTGGGGACAATTGGGGGAGGGAGTACTGGCAAGGGTGGCTCAAGGGTGTGGGTGGGAGACATGGGACGGTGGGATGTGGGTGGGGGAAAGGGGGGGGGGAGGGGGGGAGGTAAAGAGAGGTTTTATTACGGGAGATGAAGTGAAAGGTGAATTCATGAAGGACGGTGATAAGAACATTTTAAAGAAGCAGGAAAAAAAAGGTAATAAATACACGCAGAAATGAAAAGCAATGGAAACTGGTAAAGGAGAAAGGTATATATAAGGAAGGTAACCAATACTGTTTAATTTTACCGTCTATGAACATGCAATGGCTAGACAGGTGATAATAGCTTATACTTTTACCATTGCTTGCAGGAAAAGGTCCTTGGGAGTTGTAATGATCGCGTTAGTGGGTACTTTTGGTAATGGTAACAGCAATTATAACCAGGGTTGTGCTTTTAAGGAATGGGAAGTAAAAGTAGGAAATTAATTGAAAGGAAGGCCAAATCGGTAATTATGGAACTGGTCAGAAATGGATAAATGGTGAAAATATATCTATAATCGGTCTAAAAAAAACGTGTATTTTATGTAGAACACATGTTCTTTGAAAGAAAACGTTGACATGGTATTTAAGATCCTAAGGGCCATTGCGTGCTCTCGTCCTTGGCTCTTCCTTATATTTAGTTGATAATGCATTTGGTCTTCCATGCGTTAAAGAGAGAGAGATGAAGGGAATGAAAGAGAGAGAGAAAGAAAGAGAAAGAGAGAGAGAGAGAGAGAGAGAAGAAGAGGGAGAGAGGGAGAGAGGGAGAGAGGGAGAGAGGGAGAGAGGGAGAGAGGGAGAGAGGGAGAGAGGAAGAGAGAGGGAGAGAGAGAGAGAGAGAGAGAGAGAGAGAGAGAGAGAGAGAGAGAGAGAGAGAGAGAGAGAGAGAGAGAGAGAGAGAGAGAGAGAGAGAGAGAGAGAGATGGAGGGGGGAAGGGAGATGGAGGAAGAGAGAGAGGGAGATGGAGGGAGAGAGAGGAGAGAGAGAGAGATGGAGAGAGAGAGAGATGGAGTGAGAGAGAGAGAGTGAGTGAGAGAGAGTGAGAGAGAAAGTGAGAAAGAGAGGATGAAGGGAGATGGAGGGAGGTAGAGTGAGAGAGAAAGTGAGAAAGAGAGGATGGAGGGAGGTAGAGTGAGAGAGAGTGAGAGAAAGAGTGAGAAAGAGAAGGAGAACGAGAGAAATAATAAGAGAGGGAGGAGAGAAAGAAAGAGAAAGAGAAAGAAAGAAAGAGAGAGAGAGAGAGAGAGAGAGAGAGAGAGAGAGAGAGAAGAGAGAGAGAGAGAGAGAGAGAAGAGAGAGAAGAGAGAGAGAGAGAGAGAGAGAGAGAGAGAGAGAGAGAGAGAGAGAGAGAGAGAAGAGAGAGAGAGAGAGAGAGAGAGAGAGAGAGAGAGAGAGAGAGAAAGTGAGAGAGCGTAAAAGAAAGAATGAGAGAGAAGTGAAGAAGAAAAAAAAGAACATAGCTGTGGCGCTTCACTGCAGCCAGCCCCTCCACAGGACCCACCGATAGGAGGGGGAGGGGGGAGGGAGTAACACTCAGTGGCTGCTACTGTGTGCTGCGTCGGGAAGCACCGTTTTTACATGAAACTCAGAGTGGGGTGAGAAAAGTCTATCGAATGTTTAATGAAATCAAATGTTTTATAAACATATTGGAATGTATAGATGCATTCCCTTGAACATATTTTATATTAGCGTGGGTGAATTTCTTAGGGGGGGGGGGTATAAATTCAAGTAGATAAACGTAAGTAGAAAATGTGCTGGCTGTTTTTTTTAAGTATATACTGAGTAACCTGTATTTATGTTACGATAGCCTACAGCTGGTATTCAAGTGGATTTTATTATCGAGTTGTTTTTTCTTCCTCCATATGAAAGGGAAATGGTGCCGGATGAAATGGCTGAAGGACTAAATTACACAGAGCAGGCTGGGAAGAACTATTTTGAAGTCTGTTTTGTATTTTCCACTGTGAGTCATCAGTATATGAAGTATAGGTACAATGGAATGTGCTAATATATATATAACTATGCAAAAAAGTCCTTGGAATAGTTCAGTAACAAAAGTGTACAACCACGGAAATACCTTTACTGTGAAATGACAAAAAATATTTCAAAATACACGAGCAGAAACGTGCATCTGAATAAAAGTACATAACTGAGCAAAGAGGGCAAAGAATGATTCACGGCGTTTTGCAACATCGCAAACAGATGTTAAGAGGTGCAACACTGCCACCTTAACATGGTTGAAAGGCTCGGCAAAACAATCCAACAGCAAGGGGTGTGACATGGTAATTTCCACCGGACACCTGGGATGCCTCGCAGCAGAAACAAGTGTGGTCCGTTCTAATAACAGGTGTCATGTCTTCCAAGGCATCGGGGTGTGAGTGGGAGTGGACAGTAAATGGCTGACCTTAAGGAGCAGGCCAGCCAGCGCCGGGTAACTGGATGACCTTAGATAGCGCGCCATGACGTACTCTAGATCATAGGTCCAGCGCGCGGTTAGTGTGCCGTGAGCCGTCAAGGAGAGAGGACGTGTCGCTGCCGCGCTCAGAACCCGTCTCCACGCGCTGACTGGTCCTTTTATAAGGGCTAAGTAGAGTGCATCACCCACACGCTAACTCGACCTTTACGACTATACTCGTATATAGCACGTGATTGTGTCTTCAAGTGTGACGTCTCGGATTTTAATTTACGAACAACCAACGGAAACTGCAGTGATTTTTTAACTTTGATAATCATGTGTTTGTGACAAAAAATTTGTGAGTGGACATCAAACATTAGTTCCTGGCATTAACGAGTTTGTTGCTTAAAATATATTTAGCATGAACATGGAGTGAAACGACTTCCTCGTAGATTAGATTCAAAGATCTTGCAAAGATGTGCATCCTAGACCTATTCCGCTTGCAGATGGAGGTGCGGGTCAAGAAGAAGAAGAAGGAAGGCTTCAACCTCCGCCGCAACAAGATCCTCTCCATCCGCCGCTCCAAGATCTCCAACAAGTTCTCGTCCATCGGGAAGCTGCGCCACAGGAAGCGGTGCCACAAGTGCAAGCCCCGCAGCCACAGGTCCTCCTCCACGTGCATGGACCCCGCGTGCGGCCTCGAGGGCGACTGGGACGACAAGCTGTCCCCCTACAGCAGCGTCAAGACGCAGTCCACCCAGTGCACCGACGACTGCAAGGGCGTGTGCACGTGCAAGTGCGACGACGCCAAGTGCTGCGACAAGGACTCCAAGGAGGAGGTCCGCGTGGTGAGCTTCATCGAGATCGAGTCCGACGGGAAGGCGATGGGCACCGACAACCGCGCCTTCGAGGGCGACGGCGGCCGCTGCGACGGCACCATCAACAGGTGCAGCTTCCTCAACAAGTACCGCAAGAGGCTGATCGAGATCCAGAAGGAGGAGGAGGAGAGAGTCTCCAAGAGCAAGCTCCTGAAGACCTCCCAGGGGCTCACGAAGAGCACCAGCACCACGGGGCTGCCCGAGCACGCCGTCTCCAGCACCGCCGCCACGCAGATGCCAGAGACAGACAGGTAGGCGCCCCTTTCGTCCCCGGTGGAGCCAGGTAATCCAGATGCAAGCGCAGCGAACGAGGCGGCTCGTATAACCAGCCGGGCGTGAAAAAATTATGAAATCCGACATTGTTAACATGATATGGTGTTGCGGGGTCGTAAACGGCCAATAGGCAGTGGTATGCAACGAAAGGCCCAAAGGTTAATACATACATGTATATATATATTTTTTCTTTTCTTTTTTGTTATCTGGGATTTGTTTTTACCAGTGTCATACCTGTGCTCTTAAATCAGTGTAGATTATATATCAATTGTCGGTCTCTAAGCAACTACCGCTTTTGTCTCTAATGATGATATTTACACACGACATGTCACAGGGCATAGGACGCTTGGTTTACTACTATCTTCCTGCCTTCTTCATATGACTCAAACGATAGCTTCACTGATAACAGTTTCGACAAGAAGTTTGAAAGGAAAAAGAAAAATCATCAGGATAATCTTGCTTATCATTTAAATCAATTTCAGATTCAATTTTCCAGGGAAGAAAGGTTGCAGAAGCTGTTAAGATATCATGAAATTGCTTAAAGTTATGCTTGCCCTGAGTTTAATTTGTGTCTTTATTTAAAATGTATTATATTTTTTCCCACTGAAGCTTGCGTGCGTGGGTGCGTGTAAATTGTCTTTGTACATGAATTTGTATGTTTTGTATGTATGGGCATGTATAATGGAGATAATGATGTTCCAGACTAGACAAGAAGTGGGAATAATATGATAAAGAATAGAAAGAAATAAACTAGAATATAATATGATATATTCAAAAGAATATTGGAGCAAGACAAAAAAAATGATAGAGAAACAATCGCTAAAATATGAAAATAGGAAAAGACAATCATAGATAAGACAAAAAGCAAAAAAAAAAAAAAAAAGAAGAAAAAATACGCGGATATAGTGGGTGCCGGAGAAGAGGGGGGGGGGGGGAGGGGGGCGAGGGGGATGGGGAGCTCTGACGTCATAGGATTCCCTCTCTCCCTAACGCATCTGAGGCGATACAGTTACGTGAATGTGTTCATAGATCCCATGGCATTCGATCCCATTTGAATAGAATTAAATGCCATTTCATGATCGGATCGCGATGCTCTTTTTTTCGAAACCTAATCACTTATTGTTTTTAAGGTGTCTATAATGTCACACAAGGTTTAGATCGCGTTTGCTTGCGTCGCAGAAGCAGACTTTTCTTATAAGGTCTAATGGAAGATGGATTCATAAGCTCTTTGATGGATTGATTGTCTGTCTCAAGGGAAAGTGCATCCTGAGTTTTTTTTTCTATTCTTATTACAAAACAACAAACAGGAAAACAAAGACATTATGGATATTTTTGCTCATACAAAACAACAAACCAGAAAACAAACACATACATCGATTTTTTTGCTCATTCTTTTCATTTCAAATTCATGCACAGTTCATACAATACGACAGAAATAAATCGAAGTCATTAAACCATCCATAAATTCTATTCTTAGCCAATATTCTTTTGAGCTAATAGTGAAAACGAAAGGAAAAGCGCGTTGGTTTAGCGAACAACCGGTTTTGGAGTCATATACACGTTAACCTGCCCAGACATACTTAAGAACATGCATGAATCGTACATTCTTAGACGGAGACTGGGAGTAGGAAGTTACGTATATAGGTTGATAGATAATCCAGGGAGGTAAATAGATAGTTTTGCTTCCTTCTCTTTCTCTTTGTTTATTTTCTTTCTTGTTCTTTTTCTTCTATCTCATCTTCTACTTCAATTTTTTTCTTCTGTTTTTTTCTTATCTTTCTCTTCCACTATATGTAGTGATTAGATATATTGACAGATCTTTTGGTTGAATAATCTGTTTATTTTTAGATTTTTAGAGACATGGGTTGAGAGGTAAGGTAGATTGATAGACAGGTAGATAGCTTAGTAGATAGACAAATAGATAGCTTAGTAGATAGACAGATAGATAGCTTGGTAGATAGACAGATAGATAGCTTAGTAGATAGACAGATAGATAGCTTAGTAGATAGACAGATAGATAGCTTAGTAGATAGACAGATAGATAGCTTAGTAGATAGACAGATAGATAGCTTAGTAGATAGACAGACAGATAGCAGATAGACAGATAGTTAGTAGACAGACAGATAGATAGCTTAGTAGACAGACAGATAGATAGCTTAGTAGATAGACAGATAGATAGCTTAGTAGATAGACAGATAGATAGCTTAGTAGATAGACAAATAGATAGGAACAAAAATTGCGTATTGGATAATAAAGAAAAGATACCGTGATCGAATCCGTTTAACCGTTGTCCGAACGCGTGTTGATGGCTTTGTTGAGTGAACATGATAGAACAGTTAACGTTGGATCACAGTTTTACTTACCGTTGAACACACGTGTAACTAGTAGCTTAATTGATTTTTATTTTTATCCTACTTGTGTGTAACTAATAGGGGATCGAATTTTAAAAAAATCCTTCTTGGCGATATATAGAGCTTATTTATTTTTTTTTTTATCCTATTTGAGTGTAACTAATAGATCGAATTTAAAAAAAATCCTACTTGACGATATATAGAATTTAATTGATTTTTTTTGTTTATCCTACTTGAGTGTAACTAATAGGGGATCGAATTAAACAAAATCCTACCTGACGATATATAGAGCTTATTTATTTATTGTTTTATCCTACTTGAGTGTAACTAATAGGTGATCATATAAAAAAATCCTACTTGACGATATATAGAGCTTATTTTTTTATCCTATTTGAGTGTAACTAATAGGGGATCATATTTTTAAAAAATCCTACTTGACGATATATAGAATTTAATTGATTTTTGTTTATCCTACTTGAGTGTAACAAATAGGTGATCATATAAAAAAATCCTACTTGACGATATATAGAATTTAATTGATTTTTGTTTTTTATCCTACTTGAGTGTAACTAATAGGTGATCATATTAAAAAAATCCTACTTGACGATATATAGAATTTAATTGATTTTTGTTTTTTATCCTACTTGAGTGTAACTAATAGGTGATCATATAAAAAAATCCTACTTGACGATATATAGAATTTAATTGATTTTTGTTTTTTATCCTACTTGAGTGTAACTAATAGGTGATCATATTAAAAAAATCCTACTTGACGATATATAGAATTTAATTGATTTTTGTTTTTTATCCTACTTGAGTGTAACTAATAGGTGATCGGATTATTTTTATTTTTTTTTATCCTACTTGATGATATATAAAATTTAATTGATTTTTGTTTTTTATCCTACTTGAGTGTAACTAATAGGTGATCGTATTTTTTTTTTATCCTACTTGACGATATATATAGAAATTTAAACGTACAAAAAAGAGAGAGAGATTCAGTTTAAGGATGAAATGGAAAGTGATGTGATGGAGGTCGTAAGAAATGATCTGGGTGAGGAAAAAGTGGGTTGCATTTGGGATGTAAAGTGTAGGTTTTGCGTTCGAGTTTGACCAAAATTTAATCCAAATTTTCAACAATTTGAATTTAGTATATGTAGATAAGATGAATATTTGCTATATTTTGATATAAGATAGATGGCAAAATTTAATCCAAATTTTCAACAATTTGAATTTAGGATATATAGATAAGATGAATATTTGCTATATTTTGATATAAGATAGATGGCAAAATTTAATCCAAATTTTCAACAATTTGAATTTAGGATATATAGATAAATGAATATTTGCTATATTTTGATATAAGATAGATGGCAAAATTTAATCCAGATTTTCAACAATTTGAATTTAGTATATGTAGATAAAATGAATATTTGCTATATTTTGATATGAGATAGATGGATGAGAAGCTTAATTCGTTTTCAGTAATCCAAATTTTCAACAATTTGAATTTAATATATATAGTTAAATGAATATTTCGTATATTTTGATAGAAGATAGATGGGCGAGAAGCTTAATTCATTTTCAGTAATTTCCTTTGGTTTAATGTGAATGGTGTTGATACCAAGACTTGAAGACGCTTTCAAGATAAGATAAGATTCAGGATATATTTTCGTATTTTCGTTTTCATTAAAAAAATCAGTCTTTTTATTGAGGCGGACCGAGCTAATAGTTTTTTTTCGCCTTCTTTCTTATTCACTGAGTCACCTACCGATGTTTATTAATTATTTGTTTGTTAATTAATTTGTTTATTCATCTGCTTCGTTCCTCCGTTCATCCATTTATCATCAATTTTTATTTGCTTGTCTATTCACCCATCCATCCATTCATTATTTAAATAATTAATTAATTCATTCATCCGTCCATTAATTAATTAGCTAATTAATTACTTAATTCATCCATCCATCCATCTATCCATTCATTCACTCACTCTTTTATCTATTTTTCTCTCTCTCTTTCTTTCTCTGTATATATCTTCCTCCTCCCTCTCTCTCACCATCCTTCCTTCTCTATCTCTCCCGCCCTTCTCCTACGTCTCCCTCCGTCCTTCCCTCCCTCTCTCCCCCGCTCCTACCCCACCTCTGATATCTCCCCCCCACACCTTCCCTCCCTCCCTCCTCCCTTCCTTCCTTTTTTCCCTTATTCCTTCTACCTTCTTCTCTCTCTCCACCCCTATCGTTCTTCCTCCCTCTCTCTCCTTCCTCCCTCCTCCATCCCGCCCTTTCTTCCTTTTCCCTTATTCCCTCCCTACCTTCTTCCCTCTCTCTCTCTCCCACCCCTATCGTTCTTCCTCCTCTCTCTCTCCATTCCTCCCTCCATCTATCACGCTCCTTCCTTCTTTCTCTCTCATTTCCCTCCCTGCCTTCTTCCCTATTTCTCTTCGGACCCCTATCGTTCTCCTCCCTCGCCTCCCTCCCTTCCTCTTTCTCCCTTATTCTCCCTACCTGCTTCCCTCTCTTCTCTCACCCCTATCGTTCTTCCTCCCTCCCTCCTTCCTTCTTTCTTCTTCATTCCTCCCTACCTTCTTCCCTCTCTCCTCTCCACCCCCTATCGCTCTTCTCCCTCCCCTCCCTCCTCCTTCCTTTTTCTCCCTTCT